TTTCCCTCGATGAATAAAGAAACATTGATGAGCTTTCACCGCGGTTTGGAGCTACGGAAACTAAAACGTTATTCGAGTTAACAGGAAGCGGAATATTTTACGAACGTTTCGTTGCTCTTAAAAACGCTTTCAGTCAGCGATATGTTTCATACAACTTACCACGTGAATTGAAGCAAAATTTTAGAGGCAAAGTGCACGAAACCTTGTCGTCACAACGTCGCAATTGTCACGAAAAGTTGACTCTATGAACTTGTGTATAAACAGCGTCTTAAGAGATTGCTTTTCCGGACATTCCAAGTCCTACAATCTCTCAACATTTCATTTTCACCTTTACCTAATAAAAACGTATGTTGTTGACACAAGCATAAACTTTAGGGACATGGTGTTAACCTGCTGAGGCCCCGTTGACACTAGTGCACTTCGATAAGATGGGTTTTCGATTACCGTCTTCGCGACCGTTTTCGCAGCGTTTTCCTCCGTCTACACTGAGGCCCCGTCCACACGTATCCGTCTGCTTTTTCCAAACCCTCCGTTTTCGCTATCGACACTAATAAAATAGGTCTCCATTTTCAAATATCTCCACTCTGGACAGCTATAAATGTTTTCGATCGTTCTAATGTGGAGGGTTGGCGAAAACTGCATCAGTGTGTGATATGCGTTTCCAAACGAAAACATATAAATGTGGACAGGGCCTGGGAACTACACAAGTGCACGCTAGTTAACTTGATATTTTATACGACTTGCACTGACTGTTTTTCTTTAGTTCGTGATTTATTTTACAAATTCTTTAAAATGTTTTGCTGTGTAAGACTAGAATCTCTCAAAGTCTTGGCATGAGGCGATCTGGCTGATGTCAAAGAATGAATTTTGTCGAGTAAGCATTAAGTAAACGCTAAAAACAGAAGAACATATAAACTTAACTTGTATGCACGTTTGAAGAAAAAAAAAAAACACTTCTATGTATTACAGATGCATGTAGATAGCTGTGACAATCTTTTCTTTTGCCACACAAACAAAAAAACAGAGTCCAAATGACAGTATCAACTTATTTCTCTACATCCGCCACAAGAAAAAAAATTGTTATCGCATTTTTAACTTTTCGCGTGAAATTTCATTTCCAATGATTACCTAAAATTTAATTTTTAATGTTTAATATACATGTCTTTAGGACTTGTGAATCTTCCTTTTCTTATGTATGTCAGCCAAGGGTATAAGAGAGTGCCGTTTTCCGAGAATACTCGCTGAATCCTCGGTGACGAGCTCCCGGGTCTTATTGTCCAATCATAAACAGACCAAGAAAAGCACGAGCACTCCAAGTCACTCCTTCAACTCGTCGGCTTAGGACACGTTAAGTTGCTAAGCAACTTCTCCGCTGAACACCGCGGGCTCAAACAATTCTCGGTGATTTCTCTTCGATGGCTTCAAGTATTGAATCATTCATTTCTTGTGTCGTTTGCCCTTTCCATTCCACTTGAGTTGATTCAGAATGTCCTCTGTCACTCTCTTCCCTTTTCTGATGATATCCTTTGGAATAATCTTCACAACAGCTTCAACCTAGAAAAATTAAAAACATACAAGTCCCGGTCACACTAGCTTATCAAGTTAGGGAACGATATGTCTGTGGTTCAAACCGCTGGAACTTATCCGTCCCAGTTTCTGTAGCACGCATGAAGCAACAGAAGGAGAGCCTTTGAAAGCATGCTTATCTGCCACGCAGGTTATTCTACCACCCTACCCCACCCCCAACCCACGATTAAGTCAAGTTGCTCCAACAATTTGCTCTAACCCATTGATACGCCTGTGTCAGCGGCACTGTGAGAGTAAAGTGCCTTGCTCAAGGACACAACACAACAACCCCGGCCAGCACTCGAACTCAGAAGTCCACCGCCCTAACCTGAAGTCAAAGCGCCAAGAATTTACGTTTCAAAATTGTTACTTGTCGTGGTAAACGGAATTCTAAATACCACAAACGAAATCGTGTCTTAGCCTTCTCTGATATTTGAAACTTGGCTTATCTTGACGTGCTAAGTTTGTTTGGACACATTTTTTGTCTCCAGTAACAATAAAATCACCGTAAAATTTGGAAACCGCAAGGGTCAAGCGAATAAAGCTGCTTGAAAGTGTTTCGACAAAGACACGCTGTGAACTCAAATATGTGTTTGATACTAACAATGGCAGCCATCGTTTCATGGTCACGGTTGCCGGTTGCGTGAGGCTGTTGCGGCAGATTAATTCTGTAAAAATGTAAAAATGTTTTTGCTGTTTCTTACCGCAGTCTAAGCCATGTATACAGGAAATCTAGTTTATATGCCACCCACCGAAGCACACTCAAGATTAAGTTATTGTCTAGTCCCTTATATATAATGCTAACTTCCACCATAAGCTCTGGAATGTCTAATACTCAATTTGTTCTCGGTCTTAAAAAATTCCGTGAAAACGGCCTCTGAAATTAATAGTGAAGAACAAAGTTGCTCTCAACACCAACATATCCATCTTACTTGTTCTCTCGCGGATAAACTGTCAAAAATTCCCGGCAGTTTCTTCCGATCTACTTCTCCGCCTTTGTAAATCTCGTCTAGAACCAATCTTAAAACAAAAAAATAAAACAGCACAGTATTTTAAAATCCAGCTTTAAGTCCAGGGGCTAGCGAGATGATCTAAGTCAAGTGTGATTATCAAGTTCAAGGGAGACTATATACACAAGTTACCCAAGCCCTCTGTAGTGTTTACTTAACAACTTTCACTTCAGCCAATTCTCGATGATGGGATTTGAGGGATTTCGCCTAAAAACTGTAGTAAATCTTATTATTTTTGTTTTTCTTTTTACACCCAGGTGCGTTTGAAGAGCTGTTTGCCACTATGATTGCCACAAACTGCGTGACCCAGTATTCTAGCAGCTTAGGGCTCGTTTCACTTGACTGTCGAAAATAATTCGCGCTTGCTTTGGCCAGTGAAAGACACAGAGTCACAGACAATCCAGTGAACCAATGTAGCCGACGACCTTTAAGTGAAAACCGCTCAAGCACACTTCGCCATTGGTTAAAGAAAAAACATGCGCCACTTTCAAAACATTGATTAACAATAATTGTGGCTGCGCTTGAAGTGGATTGGGGTTGGCAGTTAACTTACTGCGCCTGCAGGCTGGTTGTCCAGCGGCACTCCGCTGTAGTCGGTCGGTCAGCGGCGTTCATTGTGGTATAAAAGCCCGCGCGATCAGTCTTCATGCGTCCGCCATCTTGGTTGCATCTAGTTCTCGTTACGGGGAGATTTCGCTTGCATTAAAGATAAAGCTTACAGTACATCGGGGCCTAGTGTGTGTGTCCATTTAGACTACTGGTGCTGGTGTAAGTACTGGCTCCAACAGCCCAATTCTCCACTAGGAGACTGGTTCAGTAATGATGAAGTACTGGCTCCGACAAAATGACCAGAACGTTGCAGAATTTTTCATAGTCACTTGATATAATGTTAGAGTAAACCATGTAAATTCATGACTGGCAGCTTACTTGTAATTCTGTGAATTCATCACTTGACTGCTAATAGCCATCGTTTCCACAGGGTTGTATGCCTGCAAAAGGGAAAATACTGTTTTTAACATAGCCTACTTGCTTTCTCAGTTATAACTATAATAAACACAGGTAATCGTATGAATGTGAGTGCAATTAAGGATCAACACTACAAGTAATATTTGAAAATTCTCTCAAAGTCGCACGAACCTCTTAAGGCGAGTACAATTTGAAAGAATTCTTATACAGCGAATGTTTGACGACAGTCATAGTTTGTAAACAAAAATAATTATAACTTCAATGGATTTCTTTTGCTGGGTAGACGACGGTCTGAATCAGGGAAAGTTTTAGAGAAAAATCCGAGAGGAAATCGAGCAATTTCAGTTTTTAATGGAGAAAAACCTTGTACCAGAATAACTTTTTATACTTAAAAGTATATTACAGTCCTTTCTGCATTTTCTAAAAGCTAAAGATATAAGTTGCCTGAAATAACATCAAAAACAATTTCTCATTGCCCTTACCAATAAAATATTACAGGGGAGGTTTTTCGTGGGTAAATGAAAGTATCTGGGTCGATCATGTTAACTCAGCTCGTACACTTGATATGTAGCATGATCACTTGTTTACACGCCAGGCTGACGTGGCATTTTCTGGAGAGTTCAAATGTGAAGCTATTTTCAGATTCAACGGTGAATCGGCGACAACTCNTTTCAGCTGCTCTTATACATCATTTAAGTAAAATCTCAGGAAGATCAATAGTTTTGTAGTTCGAATTTTAGTGACGTCATGTGAAAACCAGCTATACCTTAATTCTAGAGGGAAAAAGATCATATTAGGCCAGCTCTAAAATATGTATTCAATCAGAAAATTTCTTAACATATAGACAATTTTAAATGCTCCGACAAGCTATATCCTGCCGTGAACCTGATCAATTATGTCTTCATTCACAAACATTTCAAAATTGTGAGAGGAACACAATTTTATTATCTATCCGAAAGTTGGTATTACTTGAAGCATTACCGAAACCATAATTTCACTCATGAACAGATGTCATAGCTGTATTAAAGTTTGAGCTGTACTTGTAACGAGATATACTCTGTACAAAGAACTTTATTTTCTCATGTGTAAAATGCTTTAAATAGATGATATGTAGCTAGCCCTCGTGTAACCATAAAATTTTGAAATAACACCAAGACATTATTGTTGTCTCTTGATAAGAATAGCTATTAGTATAGGTAATCGTAGTATATTACAGGGGAGGTTTTTTCGTGGGTAAATGAAAGTATCTGGGTCGATCATTTAACTCAGCTCGTACACTTGATATGTAGCATGATGACTTGTTTACACGCCAGGCTGACGTGGCATTTTCTGGAGAGTTCAAATGTGAAGCTATTTTCAGATTCAACGGTGAATCGGCGACAACTCCTAAAGTGTTAACTCACGGTTCTCCTAATTGAAGAAAAAAAATCCCTCTCTAATTTATCTCCATTTGTAAATATGTCTTAAGCCAGAATGTGGTGACGTGATTATCAGCTGTTGCATCAGGGTTCCCGGAAGAGAACCGGAAGTAATAAGGCTTCCGGTATTTCCCCGAACACGTCACGTGGGCGACAGTCTGTTTTAACATATAGACAGTTTATATTACAAACATTTATTCATGGAGCATTACTCAGCTTTGATACTACACTTCCAAAGTCTACCTAACCTATTTTCCCGATAGATCATTCACTACGGCCTTTCTAGTACGTATGCCGTTGACGAAGGGTTTTTCTCCCGAGGCGCTTTGAAAAGGAAGATTTTGCAGTTACATCTGCGATGGCTGATCGCGAACAAAGAAGTAAGGATTGTGGTTTTGTTATTTTCTTGCTCATAAGATGGTTATGTATCGATCTCTCGTCATGTCGTGTGGATGAGTTCTTCAATCGCGAAAGATGTGGAAGTGTACCTTCTAGACCTTCTAGATCTCTCTCAGATTTGGTTCCTTTCATGCTTCATGCAGGCGTTAGAGATGAAGTTTACACGAACGCGTTCAACAGAGTTACATCAACATCTGTCACCATTTGTGATCCATATATCATATTAAGTAAATTGATTACGTATTGTTATTAGTCCCTTCGATTCGCAATATATCCAAGATGTCTCTTTGAAAAACTTCAAGCTGGCGTTTTGTAGGAATTCGAATCTCCCGACATCTTTCATTATGCTAATTTGAGTTTCGATTTCACTTTCACATATAATTTAAACAACCGTGAATTAACTCGGCTGCGTAATTTGCATTTTGCGTTGTTTTGGCTTTTTTTGGTCGTTAGGGCGGGGTTTTCTCCTAATATTCTGCCTATTTATGGCTATTCATGCCGTTTCGTAAAACTATCTCGCCAGAAAACTCGATGTTAACAACGACAAATCGAGTTGTATCTTAAGTTCAAAGTCCAGGCAAAGTCTCTCCATGCCAAGGTCACACGAAATTCCAAAGCATGCTCAACATAGTCACAGCGAAATCATCATTTGCTGTTTATATAATATTTAGAAGTTTATATCCTTAGTTTTGCTATGTTACAAACTTTGCGACAACATCTATCAGTGAGGGAGTGAGGAAGCGGCCGTACTGTTTTGATCGTCACGCAACACTTCGAGAGTGATGTTGCGTGACGGACTGTGTACGGGTGTCAGCAAGGAATTCCCGTGTCATGATTCACAAATTGGCATATCTACACAGGGATTTACATTATCCAATGCTATTGCTGAGCAGTGGAACAAAACACAATATACGGCTGTTTTGAGAAAGGTTATCGTATCAGTACAAAAGCGAAAAAGCATAAAAACGTGCACGACAATATCGAAAGGTATTATGGGCAAGAGTGAATCACGGTTGCTTGATTGCAGACGATTGAAGCGAAAGGTGTTTCAGCATGATAGAAGGAAATAGCACAAACACGTGTATACATGCTTTGTCCTCCCTTTTTGCTGAAACACCGTGAACCCCAATGAAGCAACGATAAACTATTATCGGCTTCAGCTCCAATTTTTTTTTTGTCACCAAAACAGTTAAAGAGCTAATCTTCAAGCTGGGTGCTCCAGATGATACAGAACTCCTTAGCATAGCTCACGACATTGTAAAGATCTGGGGACCTCTTGGACTGGCTTTGGGATTAAGAAATTCTCATCTGGATGAGATCAGTGAAGATCATGTTAAGGCGCTGGACAGGGCTTATGCCATGCTGAGAAAATGGAAAGAATCGATGGGATCTGAGGCAAATTACGAGAGACTGGCCCAAGGACTTGGTCACCAAGCTGTTGAAAGGCGTGAATTGATAGACACTTACTGCCGTGACAGAGGTAAGTAACACAGCAACGTAACGCGTGCTATAATAAAGATACAGTTTCGTACGCAAGTTCTGGATATGTCTAAATGCCTGGAAATTCTGATCCCAGAGCTCGCGCACTTATGTTGTAGGGGTGTCTCTTGGTGACCATCATGGCTCCTGTCAACATCTAAGTCACAGTGGTGGCAAGAAGGGAGATCTGACAGCCTGGAACAGACCGCTAGAAACACATCGTTTTGATTTGGCTTCACCGCCATTCTCAAAACCAACGCTATAAGAAAAGTCATAATGGGCTCCTGGAAATGTATACTGTAATTAAATAACGTCAACTGTCTTTTGAGCTTGTGAATGGAGCCTGGGCTCGATTTTTCGGGTCCAGCCAAGGGCATCCCGGAGAGGATATATATAGGGGGCCCCTTTTTGAACAGCGGCTAGTTAACAAGACAAAAGGAAGACACACCCGGCTACGAAGTTTTCGGGTGACTGAAAATATGACTTGATCTTGTAATTTTTTGTTCACAGACGCCGAGTTAGCTCAGGAAAGAATGGCAAAGCTTGAAGTTTCACTCAAAGATAATAACGTTGTTCCACAAGGTACGAGGGTTACTTGGTGATTTTGTCTTGTTAGATATAGTTTTGTTTATTTTCTCGTCTATCCTACGGTGCATTTAGTAGTCACTGATTTTAATTTAAAATTAAAGTTTTTCCGAAATGTCACGACAACAGGTCGGCAAACAATGATAGGTCCACATTTTTACCAGAGTTCTTATTGGATTGATACATCATCACTTGTCCAACCGCACACGTACTCGTACTATAAGAATGCTTTGGAGAACATATAGACAACTTGTAGTTTGATTTCGAAGCTAAAAGCAAATAGGTTTTGGGTTTTTATGCAGTATTTCTGAAGAAAGCCTTGTGTGTTGTTGGGACAAGGTCGAGAAATTTAAACTTTTAAATCTGGAAGATGTAATTGTTAAGAAGATTGTTTATAACCTGTTTTTTATTCTTAAATTCGTCTTCAGCTGAGACTCCGAAAAGAGTTCTTCCTTCCGTGGAAATTCTCCCTGGTAAACCGTTTCATGTAACTCAAAGACGAGGAAAAGAGATACAAAAGATCAAAGACATTTACAGCGAGTTGAGCAAGAGTGCAAAAGTTTCCACGGTAACGGGAATATATGTGAAAGGTCCTCCGGGCTGCGGGAAAACACAGTTAGCGAGGCAGTTTGGAAAAGAGTTCATAGAGGAGTGCGAAAGTCGCGGCGTGAAATTCCCGCGAATTGTAGCTACCCTACACGCGCAGACTCTAGAGTCTCTGTTAGAGTCGTATAAAGAACTGCACGAAAAACTGGAAATCCCCAAAGAGCGCGAAATACAAGGAAGCGTACGCGACCGGATTAGGAGTTACGTAGAAGATGTTAAAAATTATCTCCGCGAAAGGTCAGCTCTCTGGTTATTGATCGTTGATAATTTAACGGTGAATGACCCACTGCGAGAATTTTGGCCAACACCCGAGCAAGAGAGCCCGTGGGGGAAGGGGTTGGTTCTTGTAACGACTCAGGACAGCGAGCTCGCACCCAGATCTCACGCGCATGCCAAGGTAATGCCGCTGGATTCAGGAATGGAAGACACCGATGCCATGGGTTTGTTGAGGGAAATATCAGGCCTGGATGTCGACGAAGACGCGAAAAAAGTCGCTGAACTACTGGGTCATTATCCGCTTTCCTTGGCTTGCGCTGCGGTTTACGTTAGGCAGATGCGAGAGGACCGCCCATTTTCCAAGTTTTCGTGGAAGAATTACCTCTCAAATCTCGAAGAATACTTTGCATATCTCGATCATTCTGATTATACGCATCACAATCCATGTTATCCGCAATCAATGCTGCCAGCGGCAGAATTCGCTGCACGACGGATGGCGGAAAACAACGAAGTACTCCGAGCTGCCTTCGTGTTTCTTTCGTACTGCTCTCTCCAGCCCGTACCTTTGGACACCGTTGCTGATTACGTTTTGCGCGAAGCTAAAGCGCGCGGTGACGCAAAGATTAGAGTACCTGATGATATCAAGGTTAAGGTAGCGAGATGCTCTTTACTCATTTATCCCGAGACTGGTGAGAGAGGAGTTGAAGTAGTCACGCTTCATCAAGTCATGCGTCTGGCGTTTTTGCAGATAAGACGGAAAGCGGACGTGAACAAACCTGGCAATGAAGAAAAATCTGCTTACGTGTCTACAAACAATGTGGATAAACAGGAGCTGAATAGCGTACTGCAAACCTTAAACGAGGCTTACAAGCAAAAGAAAGGCGAGCTCAAACAAGAAGACATCGCCACACGGATTCTTCTGTGTCCGCATTTGAAGGAATTCGTTGATGGAGTGGAGCGAGTCCAGTGGATTGAAAGTAGCTTACTTGTTCAGGCGTTGGTGTACCTGGCCGACGGACTCATTCACGTTGCCGGGGCAACAGACAACCATCGTGTGGCGCTTCTTGAGCGGGCTTATAAGATAAACAAACAACTTTGCTCCACTGATATAAACGCCTGTACCTTGCTGTGTGATTTGGGTTACACGTATCGCGAGGCTGGACAACTGGATAAAGTCATTCCAGCTCTAGAGGAAGCTAACAAACTTTGCGAGTCACAATCTGACGCGGAGTGGATGAAACAGCGGTCAAAGCTTTTAAACATCCTCGCATTTACGTTCCGGGAATGCTTCCAGCTGGATCTCGCGAAAGAGTACATGAAGTTGTGCGTCGACGTAACCAAGAAGGCTCACGGAGAGAAAGCTGTGCCAGTTGCGGAGCGGCTGTGTAATCTTGGAGTCATCCTGCATGACCGATGGGAAAACGAAGAGGCCATTGAAGTACTTGACGAGGCCAGGAAGATTGCGGAAACTTGCGATACTTCCGAAATGTTCATCCGAGGCCAAGTTTTGAACTACACGGCTAAAGTGCACCTCCGTTGGTATCTGGGCCTGCGCCACACGCATCCGCGCGCCTGGAGCACGAAAATGCATCTGAAAGAGTCAGACTCGCTCCACGAACAAGCGTTGCAAATTTACCACGAGCTTCATGGAGATCAGCACAAATTTACAACTGGAGTTATGATGACCTACGGAATAGCGAAACTGCATTTAGGAGAGGTCGACCAAGCTTACGACATGTGTCAAAAAGCTGTTCAAGTCTATAGGAGTTCGAGACATATCGCGTGGCCGCGCGCGGGTACGTTTCTCGCAGACGTTCTGCTAGCGCGCGAGGATTATGTTCGCGCGAAGAAGGTTTTGGAAGAGCTGGTACGGGCGCACAAAGATATGAATCTCACAGTCAGCCCTGGTGCGTTCCATCCTAGAGCGCTCATGGCGGAGGCTTGTGCGCACCTTGGAGACGTGGAGACTGGAAGGAAAATCTTGGAAGAGTGTCTTGAAGAGTGGAAGGGAAAAAATTTACACCCTGAACATTACTGGGTTGCACGCGCGCGCGCGTTCCTCGAAGGACTGAGATCGCGAGAGACACGTGAAGAGAGCGCTCGAGGCGTGTATGAGTTACCGGAAGAACTATGTTGATTAAGAGATTTTTACGTGTTGTGTGAAACGAGCAAAAGTATTAAAACATAAGCTGACCGCATGAATTCACCAAAGCTTAGTTCTGGGAACGAAAAAATTTTGCGTGGATAATACGTTAACATCCTTCGTGCTTTCACACGAGTTCACATACCCATTCAAGTGAAGTAAATGTGCTAACAAGACTTTCATGAAATTGTCGCTATAGTTTAATACTGATTCAATATGATACAAAATAAAATTGAATTGGTGCCGTTTGTGACTTGCATAGAATCTTCAACAAAAATGTAATGTTATTTAACGCTCGCTTGTTATAATTATTTAAGTCGTTTTAAATATCTCCGCACAGGTAAGAAAACGGGTTATAGTAATTTTATATGCTATGAAGTTACTTGCTTTTAGCAAAAAAAAAAAAAAAGCTTACAAAATAAAGAATGCTCTCCTTTTACATTTACTTTGTACTTCTCTAAATTTCATTCCTTGTATCTTTTGAGGATTGCAGATTTTCGTAAGTTAAATCTGATGCCGTTGAGTGTGGATTCTTATAACGCAATGGTAATTCTTGTATTTTGCTGACCAATCGGAATCACAAAGCACGTTTCAAAATTTTCCCCGGAGTTCCTAAACTAGTCGTTACATAGGGTTGTTCCAGCAGACAGATTACTATAGCTAAAAATTGCGTGGCTTTTCGTTTGGTTTGTTAGAAAACTTGTACAATAAGCTTCAACCAATCACAGTGAAGAGACATGTAATGGCGCACTAGCAAAGCGCGGGAAAAACGGCGCCAGCAAATCACGACTGCCTTTACAAGCACATGATTGGTTAACAAAACACCATATTCACTCATAGCCTGCGAATACAGAAGGATTTCGCAGGCTAATTAAAATCACTCTGGAAGTACGCCGGAACCAACTAAAAGGCCTAAAAAACTCAAAACGAAACAAACAAAAATGTTGGAAACGCTTAGTGAAGGATTACTCTTGTACATGTTCATTTATGGCGCATATCTCTTGGCCCTCCCACATCGGTGTAACTATAATCTCCGCCTCGTCTTCCTCATGCTCGCCTATATTTTCCGTTTCTTTCCACACGTACTTTCCGAGCTGTTCGCAGCCCGAATCGAACACGTACTTGCCTCGTCCTCTTGGCTTATTTTCTTCAAAGTTTCCAACATATCTGTGATTTGAATGGATGAGATGTCCCTCCTCTTGCATCTTGCCGTGAAACCATCGGCCATCGTAGCGGGACCCAGTCTCCTTGTACGTATACACTCCGTGGCCATGCCGGCTTCCTAGGGCCCACTCTCCATCGTAGGTGTCGCCGTTAGGGTATGTGTAAGTTCCCAAGCCACTTCGTAAATCGTTGATCCAACTCCCCTCGTACTTAGATCCGTCTGGATACAGGAACACGCCTTCACCGTTTTTCTTGCCCTCTATATAGTGTCCCTTATATCGCGCGCCATTTTTGAACCTATAAAGTAGCAAAAATTCACCTGTGACCTCAGTAGACCTTCAGACCTGGCTATTTTTACAGTTCCTAAACGCAGACACTTTCAAGAATCGTGTTTGTCAAGATTTGTTCAATTATCATACCCAAATTCGCAAGTAACCAATCCGAAGCATCCCACGATATCAAGTCACTACCTCGATATGGCTACGGTATGCCATGCTCACTTGACCGAAACGCCTAATTGCATCTTTTTGGTAGCTTTCGGCGTCATATCAGGCTCGTTTGGTCTCGCCATAGGTATCTTGGCTATTAAATAATCAGGAATTACTCCAATATATACGAACATTATATTACAACCTATAGTTCCTTGACCGTGTTTTGGTGATATTGTTCACTTATGCTTCATTGATTTTGGATTTGACAAGATCAGCAAACAACAGTGGTAAGATAGGAGCCCAAATTCTCTGTACATAATACAATAATACGATATTTGTCAGTAAAGAGAAGTTATAATTTTTTCAGTATGTTGAGATCAGCTTGCAAAGCCTTTATCGCGTGACTTCGCAAACACTTTTATATGGTTGAATGATTCCATCTTCTGAGTGCATTCTACGGTAAAACTGCGGGCATGCTGAGGCGTAAAATTATACAGGTAGAAGTAAATAGAAGGCGGAACTTAGAAATCAGTGTACACACTGCAAAGGCCGACTGGAGATGGGATCAAAATTCTAAGTAAAATTTTGATGTAAAAAAAGAGCAGAATAAAGGAGACAAAAAAAAACTTAATGGTATAACATGCAAACTTCAACGCCAAAGCTTGACATTGTAGTCATTGTGACAACCCTTACTCAGTGGCCTCGTATTTCCTTCCCATAACAGCAGTTTTTCACAGAATCTATTTTGAAAGAAGACTGGAGCACACGATCTTTAGATGGTTTTGTTCCACAAAAAGAAAATGCCTATTAGAAGTCGAAGCGGCATTATACGCCTCGGTAGAGGCTCGTCCAGTCTTATCTCAGTTCGTGCTTCAAAAGGCCGATTTCCCGTCAAGCGAACATCAATAATAAACAAGTTCAGTGTATACAATTCAGTTTGTTATTATTTTTCTACATATTACTTATGTTAGGTCTAAAACGTAAGCCGACTGGTGGAATCGGCCCAGGTTGCAAGAAAGCCCTCTCTTGAGAGCGTCGAGCATAAGCGAGCTACTGAAGCCAGTGAAGTTATCGTATTAGTAGTATTAGCAGTCTTTCTCTTTCGTTCGTTTACGTCTGTCGTAATTCACAACACTATCATGCATCTCACTGTGAGAGAATGCTTGCGGTGTAGAGTTAGCTCGCCTTTTAAAAAAGCACAGATGAACTGGAAATTTGACAGAGATAATTGGCCTAGGTGAAATAGTTTATTTATTATAATGCGAACGCTTCAATGCTTTGATTGAGAGGCAAACGTACTAAAATTCACTGATCAAATATAGCGCGGCTGCGGGAACGTGCGCGGTGTTTCAGGCTGTACCAAAAGAGAGGTGACTTAATCACACAATTTACCTGTAAACTCCTTCGCCGTGTCGCTTGCCGTTTTCGTAATAACCTTCATACGTATCCCCGTTAGGCAGCTTTGCTCGTCCAAATCCGTGCCGTTCCTCCATCTCGTTTCTTTCGCCGTCATATTCACCGAGATACGGCAGTCCATCGTCATCTGGCAGCGTTTCTTCATCAGAAGACATCTTTGTGCAAGAAGCAATGGATCATCCACAGCCCTTGACTCGCTACTTCTACCGTTCCAACTCGGAATTGTGATCAGTGTTGTTGTGAAGTGAATCCGTCTCCAAGAGACATGAACAACGAAACCTCTCAAAAATAGCCCAGGGGTGTAAAGTTACAGGTTTGCGGGGAGCCGGAAATTCTTCACCCGTGAAAGAATTTTTTTAATTTGTGACACGCACATGGCACGCGTGACCGCGCGCGAGTAACGCAAACTTTTTATAAAGATTTGACTTGACTGATATAAACAAACCAAAAAAAAAAAAAAAAAAAAAAAAAAGCGAAGAAGATTTACTTGCGTTTGTTGAAATTTTGAAGAGTTTGAAAGGCTCTGTACTGTCTTGAATGCCGTCTCGTTAAGTCAATTTCAAACACAATAGCAGTCATTTTATAACACAATCGATCAATTAAGTACTTGGGGAATGGCAGGCTTCTTCACTTATTACACTCTCCCAGAGAGAATTTAAAAGCAATTTATATATTTTTTTTATAATTTAAGAAAAAAAAAATTGATTCGGAGACCTCCGTGACACTGCAGTGATCTCTTAATTGGGCAATTTCCAATAAAGGATACATTTCGCCTCAGGTTAAAACAAAAGGCTCCTTCTTGGCATCTACTTTTAATATTATACTATCAGGAAAGTTCTTGGTTTTATAAGTATGGGGGAGGTGCAAATGAAGTTATAATTCAATACAAAAATACTCCCTCGGGTTTAACCAAGACTCAACGGGACTAAAGCTGTAACGGACTAACCGAGACCTCCCAAGTATTCTCTTGGGTTAAAGTTAAGACCAAAAATAATCCCCAAATGTCAAACCTAGAGGCAAAAAATATCTACGAGCAAAACCTTCAATCCTAACACTTACATTCCTTTTAGTTTATATCAAGAATAAAGGGTACGTGCTGCAATATTACACAAATACTTTTTAACATGACAGGCCGCTATTTCCAGATTTAATTGATACTCTGAGAAATCTGTAACTGTAACTGTAACCTTCCAAAAGACCTGTTAAAATAAGCATTTCCTGATTTCCCGTAATGCAACAACTCCCTCTCCCCCAGAGAGAAAATTCCTCGCACCTTCTCGTCAGTTTCAATCTAAGTTATGCACTGACTTTATATTTTTAAATAACAATACAAATAGGCGAGCGTCCGTTGGTAGAACGTTCTTGTGTAGTGTTATTGATTCACCCATTTTACATGAAATTAAATATCCTGTTTTCATCATCTTCGGCGCAAAACTCCGGACCGGCGAACCAGATTCCGGCCTTCAGTAAAAAAACAATAATAATAATAATAAATAACATGGGACTCGAACAAAAGAGTTCCTGATAATCAGAAAAATACATTTCCCACTTTTTTTGTAAGAAAAAAATTAATCGGTGAGAAATGAAGTCAGACAGTTGAATGAGGATTTTTCTTTTTACTTTCGTTAAAACAATGATTGAACAACAGAAATCAGCCTTGTCTTTGAGAATTGATACAGACCGTCACTGATCTGTATAACATAGAGAAACCGGGCCTGAACTAAATTGTTTAAACAGTCCTTAGTCATAAGTTCTCGTCAGCAGACTTCGCTATTGATGTTTGCATAGATACAAATTGCCCTTTCCTTATCTATCATCAATATTGGTTTATATTGACGATTTGTGTCGAAGATATTAGATGTATTCCCTTACAGTGTGGTCTATAAGAGTCAGTGGTGTTGAAAATTTGCTATCGCAACTTACAACTAGAAAGAAGATCAAACGGCAAAAAAAAAGCTTCAAGCAAAATGTGAAATAAATCTAAATTTTCAATTGCCATGAATTTAAAATTGATCAGAGACAGACAAGTCATTACACGACTGAGACTTCATTCGTAATAAAATCTGATATAAAATGTAACATATATCGTCTGATAAATACATTGCCTTCGTTTAAATTCATCATGCCCTTTACTCTTCCTTGTAACTTTAAGAGCTGAACACGTTTTTCTTTTACAACTCGCATTTTGCTTTCGCGGCGCATTGCTACTAAACTTTTCGGCTCACCGAGGGAAAAAAATCGATAAAGCAATCATGAATCAGGCTTTGTGCAATAACGAGATAGCTATCATAATAGTGACCTAAAGTTAACAGACTTAAAGGTTTCCGACTCAATTTTATATATGAAAAAGGTTTTTTACACATCACCAAAGTTCCACCCACCTTCGTTCTCCGTTGTTATTAACTACGCTGCGAATGGTTTTCGTTGAATAAAATTATTTGTGTCGATTTATCCTTATCAGTCTGGCTAATAAGTGTTTTCTTCCTTTGTTCCGCAACAGCGAGTTAAATTTGATTTCACGAACCATGTAACCATTCCGTAGGTGTACAGCTCTCAATGCTCAAAACAAAGATGTACATTTCCTAACGCACAAAACGACCCATTGGCCAACCAATCAGAGTGTAGCTCTCACAAACACAGCTGCCTGGAGCGTCCGGCTCATTCAATTTGTCTTTACATAGCTCGACAGTTTTAGGCGTCGTTTTAAACAGCTTTTGACATATTATCGCCTTTTTAAGCGATTTTCGCGCCTTATGAGATGGTCAACTAATAATGGACATTGCCTAAGGACTTATTGGCCTCTTTGTGGACAGTTTTATCTTGCACGGCCTGGAGTTAATCTTGTACTTATTTTTACAAGCCTTTGCTTTCTTTACACACCATTTATTTTTCATATTTGTTTTTCAACACCACGGTTCAATTTTTTAAATTGTGAAATTTTAATAAAACGCGATATTATTCAGTTTGCTAAAATCCCGAAACAATTGCTTGAAAGAAATTTCCTATAGAGAAACACATAAAAAAAATTGCGTTAATCTCTTTGGCAAATCCGCATCTTGCAGAGCTTTAAATTAAACAAGGATATAATAAACTGCAGTTATTGTTCAGTGGCCTTGGATAATTTAGTGAGAAAAAAAAATAGTGCCAAGAAAGGTAGCGAATCGAATCAACACGTTATGCGATAATGAATGCCAACAGCAACTTAATAACTGTACTGTATTCAATTAAGCACAACACAACAATGGATTTTGCTTTCATATCGCATTCGATCGTATCAATCAAAAGGTACGTTTATATCAGGAAAATTCCGATTAAGAATCTGAACTATTTTTACTGCTACAACTGAATTCTCACATGGAGTAAATCTATTTCCCTTTTAATGCTAGCCGTGTAGGGTAATCAGTGGCTGCATCTAATACTAATTTTATTTGTTCTTGTACACTTCAAACACTGTTGTATGTAAACACAATTTCAATGTGAAATGTAAGTTTTCACAATCCACTCAGCTCGAACTTGTTTGTGACTATCTAGATTAGTCCTCAGCTAGTATCATATGAGTGCTTTATATGCTCATAACTGATTCAAAGCGAAAGAAAATCCATTGCACATATACTGAGGAGTGTTAAATAAAATTTAAATATTTCGTTTTCATTTAAAATATAAACAGATCGCACTACTTTTCTCAATTCCAGGGGAGCTTGGATAAATACTGCTGGCAGAATTTGCGGCTGCGAGCAATAGTGTGGATTCGAGCAGAATTCTCCATTTCGGCATAGATTTAAAAAAACAAAAATGGAACACACATGAAAACACTGCTCTATAACCTTCAGTTCATTTTAATGCCAAGCATAAGGGTAAGACTTAATAGCTGGAGTCGCCCTTAGCTCGCGTTGCAACAAAATAAACATTAAAATACAACATAAAACCAATTGAAAGGACGGCTGAAAAGGGTAAATTCAATGCCCAAAATTTCGGTTAGACAGGTTTAACCTTCTTCAGGGGCTACACTGAAGCTAAGTAGATATGGATAAAGTGGTTACAAAATTTTAAATGATACTCGAGGAAATATGTGACGTGACTGCTATTTGTACAAGTGGTCCTTGCACGACAGTTTACCCGATTAAAATAAAAAGTTACCATTTCAACCTATCATGGATTTTCTCAAATCTGTCTTCGCACAATAAGATGTAAATGTTTGAAAACGTAGGGGTAAATGCGTAGCAAAAAGGTTAAGTGCAGCATTTGACACGCCCTTACACCCCGGTATGTAACGGTGTGTCAAATGTGGTATTCACTATTTCTGCTGCACCCTTTCGTTTTTAAACATTTACCTCATATTTGCGCGACGCAAATTTAAGCAAAGCCACCAAGTTTTCGTCAGTAGCTTCCATATGAAACGGCACGACGGTTTCTATTTAGCGACACAAAAAAGACGTCACGGAGACTCTAATCACCTTGTACAACATAATAAGCCGTAAGATATGATTGTAGTGAAATACAACAAGGTTCTATCGAGGAGACATTTAAGATCGCCCTCTTTTAATTTTTAACTGACCTGTGAGTTCGACGGTAGAAAAGTGTAAATGCCGTATTTGCCACACCTGACTCTAGGTGTGAAAAGAATACATTCATTGCTTTAGCATTTTGCTTTAACAGCTGACTGTTGAAGTTAGCTTCATTTGTCCTCTACTCAACCCTCGACGTTTCGTCGATTGATCCAGTCGAAAAATGTCATCATCATTTGTTAGAACTCAACTGAATATGTACTCTACTTTTTTGCCATTTGAAATACAAATTGCCTTTCATACCCTTGAATGTTACTTCTATGCACCATTTCCTCGAAACGCCTCAAGGGTGAGTGAGAAAAATACTGTTATATTGTTCTGTTCTTTCCTATTACTCTGCTTAAAACAACTTGAACCCCGGCCAGTGAGTCAAAAATATTCTGATAATATGGTGAAATATATATTCCCATCGAAAACGTTAAATGTTCCGTAGACAACGGACATAAAAGGATCATGAAAATAAATTGTTGATTGATTCCATTTCCAAAATTTACTGACCTTTTATATTCAAGTAATTTGGCTTTGTTAACTACTTGCACTTTCTTTGTGATGCACGACCAATCCACAGGGGCTCCAAGGAATGAAAAGTCCATAGATCAGATTTTTCTGAAATACACATTTGCGACTAATGATAAACATCATTTCATAAATAATCAATAAATAAGATATCCAGGTAAACTGAGGTGAAACTACGTATATGGACGGTTATGATTCCAAATTGGAAGTTGTATAAAAATATATACCGATCGATCAATCGCATCCTTCCACATGTATAAAGACAAAAATTAATTTATATTCACATGTTCTGTGAGTTCCTTTGATTCAGAGTGATTTTTTAAGGATTTCATTTATAACCTGTTTTTATAATCAGTTCGATCAATCACTTTAATTTGATAAATTAATAAAAATGTCGCAAGATGCCGAATTATGAACAAAATGTGTAAATTGACCGCACAGCGAAAAAAAAATTGAATTTGACATTTTTAATATGGTGGAGTGAAGAGGCTCGAAGAGTGACATACATGTCATATCAAAAGCTTTTTAACGTTTTCAAGACTTTTTTAAGTGCGTCGAGTGTTTATGAAGACTTGATGTTCTTGTTGTTCTCGTTCGTTTATTGTAAAAGCCGGCAAAAGCGGTAGCGTTTCTTTTGTCGCTGCGGTTAAACTCACTATCTGTTTAGATACTCTTAAAAAAACAGGTAGTAAATTTGAAAACCACCAAATCATGGTATTTTGACGAAGTCATGATAAACATTGAATGAATTGTTTCTTTCTTTATCAATTGATTGTTTTACGAAATTCGGAACGCGCTCGAAGTTAACGTGATCATGGGCATAACAGGAAAGACAACGTGTGATAAAAATCATATCCGCCTGGTAAATATGTACGTATATGAATGAAAAAAAATATATTATCTGCGGATGGAATCTTGATATTAATGTATCAGCGAAGAAATGATCGTAACACCAGGACAGTCTTTGGAATGTTCTTCGAATGAAACTCCCCGTAATTTATCCTGTCACATTTCAAATATATGTTGCATACGTTACCTGTTCTATAAATTTAAAAGTGGCATCACTTTCATCTTGTCGTTCGTCCGCCCAATCACATGAATAGAGCGCGTGTTTTCATTGGTTGACAGTTACCAACANAAAAAAAAAAAAAAAAAAAAAAAAAAGCGAAGACTTCTACCATCGAAAAATAGCCAAAACTTACTTAGTGAACTAAACTCAAAGTTGAGGGCTGGAGGGTAGGGAACTTCTGTAACTCGCAAGAAATTATCTTCGTATCTGCAGAATACATGAGCTTGTTCTTTTCTATTTCCAGGAGTGTTCTAGTTGCTCAGTGGGCGAGGAATTAAGAAAAGACTTGCTCTTTTTGTCAGAGAGAAAACAAAATTTCCTCTATAAACCCACCCTCCCCTGGACAGGCCTCTCTTTTAAAACGTCTCGTTCCAGTCTCTATTGGACTTAAAATCCAACATGGCGGAATCAGATGAAGAAGTTGATGTCGAAGACGTTTCCGATGGCGAACAAACAACCAATTTACGAGGCTTGGGCGATGACGATCAAAAGGACAAATGGTATGGCAATGTATTAGGTTTCATTTGCAGTAACTTTATTTTTTAAAAGCTTGACCTTAAGGTTAAATGTAATAAAACTTAGACTTAAACTTACATCGAGCTGGATTTTAAAGTTATGAAATGGTACATGTATGTATATTTTTTTGATCAATCTTATTTCTTTCAGGTATGATAAAGACATTGGCAACCAGAGTTTTTTGAATTCTTCCAGTCTCCCATTTTCGTCTGAGTATTGTGATCCCAATTCGTGGCTTTTGGATACAAACTCGGTGAGATCAGCTGTGCTTTTAGCAAGCTTTTCTTGTGTGGCAGTGATCTGTAAACAACGAATTTATATTAGTCCTTCCGTTCTGTCTAGACTCTATAAAATGAATAACCCGAAAGCTTCTGTGAATTCTGTAATAATTTATGATCACAGAATTTTAGAAAACGTCTAATAAATTTACTTGGTTTTTGCTTTTTTACAAAAAAAAAAAAAGCTTTATCCCCGACGTATATATATAGTGAGTGAGTGTTAACGTGCATGCACTTATGCTGTTTAACAAAAGAAAAAAAATCTTAAACTATCCTACCCTAGTTCCAAATGTTTTTCTTAATTTTTCTCCGCATTCGCGACTCGTGTTCACCGCTTCACGGCTGACTCTTGCGGCTCTCTCATGTTTCAAGAAAAGAGAAAAATCAAGAAAAACCTCTGGTACCAGGGTACAACTAGCCTATTTTGATTATCAAAGGAAGTGATGAAAGCTCAAAAATTATGGAGAAAAGGACAACTACCAGTAGCAGCTACTCTGTGTTTTTCTCTACTTCTTGAGTTCTTTTGTCACTTCTGCAGTCATGAAGTACAATTGAGTCTTCTTTTTAAAAAAAAAAATGATAGAATTTAGTGCCAGTTTCGTTCCCTTTGTTTTATCCTAATAAACAGTGATTTAGGCATATTTATTTTCTATTTGTTTTTCCTTGACATCCATGGCAATGAGTAACTCCCTTTGCATATTACTGTGTAGATATAGATCTAGCAGATATCAGTTGTCTTTTGTTTTGTAACATTATCTCTACATATACAATGTACAATAATGATGACTTCTGATGTACAATATGATGACTCCTCGGAGTATGATCCTTTATGTCCCAAGACTTTTCTAATACCTTTATCCCAGGTACAAGAAGATACTCAAAGTTCTTCACAAAGATTTTTGAGAATCTTCATGTATAATCCTGAAGGTCCTCAAGTTTTTGCAATGAAGCCTTGTTGGATCCTTGAGGACCCTACAAGATCCTGGTAAAATCCTCATGGAATCCTTGAGGATCTTGAATGATCCATGCAAAGGTCTTTGCAATTATTTTTGATTAGATCTTCATGAGATCCTCATCATATCAAGGGTTTGTTAAGATCTGTCAAAGATCATATTATGCTGTAGATCCTTAAAACACCTTTTTTGGTGTCTTTGGTAGGGCTTAGAAGATTGCAAAAAAAAATTACTAGAGATCCTGCAGATGTTTTTTTTTTTTTTTTTTTTTTTTACCAGAGTGTTATAAAATCTATTAATAGGTAACCACACAAACAGATAAGGGGAATTAACTAGGTGATCACATTACACATTCTCCCAGTAGGCTCTGTAAGAAATCTTTAGTGATTAGTAAGAAGATTTGACTTACATTCAAGAATTTTGATTCAACAGGTTTGGTCCTTGGATCCTTGCACTGATGACAAAAGCAGGTCAACCATTGAAAAGATGATTTTAGAAGAACAGTATCCTTTACATCCCTCACTTAATTTTACCATGCAGTGCTTATTCCATAATGCAGCCAAAAAAACAAACAAACCAAAGGATTAAACAGCCTCCAATATTGTCCAGTGGCAAAAAATTTACTCATCCTCAGGGGTGTCATTAAGGGCCAGGCACCGGGCAAATTGGCCAGCTGTGAGGACGATTTTGCCTGCCTGGTTTGAGCATCTGAAGGAAACTCTATCTTACAGGTATATAAGGAAATTCAGTTCAAAATGGTTTGCCC